GGGGGGGGGGGGCGGCCCCCCCCCAGCCGCAACAGCCCGGGGACTCACCCGCCCTAGAGAGGCGGTTTCCTTCCACTCGCTGGAGCCGCAGTGCAGAGGGGCCACGCGGCTCTCTCGTTAGCCCGCAACAGGCCCTGAAGCCTAGTGGAAGTTGCTAGACCTGCCCTGGCCTTGCTTCTCTTTCTCGGGCCTGTAAAAGCCCCTGTGCTGGGCCTGCAGCCAGGGCGACCCTACTGGCCTCTTTCTGGTTACAAGGAGGTGTCCAGAGGCCTTGCCTGTGCAGGTGTGCGGCTGGGCAGCACCTGCTCAGGCCTGGCCAGGAGTGGTTCTCCAGGTTGGGCCCTGCTGGAGGGGGCGACTGGCTGCGTCAGTCCACCGTAGCCGCAACCCCAGAGCACAGTCTATCCCCACTGTGTTCCTCCCAAGCCCTGGTGGCTCCTGGGCTGGCCTGGTAGTGGGTCCCCATCCCCAGCACAGGTGAGCGAGGGTGCCCAGGGTCCATCCCCAGGGCTCCCTGTCATCTTCTGAAAACCCGTCTTTGCCCTCTGTCTCCTTCCCTGAAGTCTAACTTTGGACCCTGCCTCTCTGGCCTCTGCAGTTGTGTTTTTTGTTGTTGTTGTTGTTTTTGAGTTTGGAGTCTCACTGTCACCCAGCCTGGAGTGCAGTGGCTGCTCCTGGCCACCGCAGCCTCGACCTGCTGGGCTCTGGCGATCCTTCCGCCTCAGCCTTCCAAGTAGCTGGAACTACAGGTGCGCGCTACCACGCCCGGCTCATTTTGATTTATTGTAGAGCTAAGGTTTCACCAAGTTGCCCAGGTGGGTCTTGAACCTGTGGGTTCAAGCAATCCACTCACTTCAGCCTCCCAAAGGCACGGGCTCTGCAGTTCTTTACTGGGTTTTATTTTTTTTTTTGGAGTCGGAGTCTCACTCTGTTGCCCAGGCTGGAGTGCAGTAGCATGCTTACAGCTTCCGCAGCCTCGACCTGCTGGGCTCAGGCAATGTAGCTGTAACTACAGGTGTGCACCACCACACCCAGCTAGTTTTTTGATTTATTGTAGAGACAAGGTCTCACCAAGTTGCCCAGGCTGGTCTGGAACCCGTGGGCTCAGGCAATCCTCTCGCTTCCACCTCTCAGAGTGCTGGGACTACAGGCATGAGCCACCATGCCTGGCCCCTTACTGGTTCTTAACAGACTTGCTACTGGCAGCCTTATTCCCATCTCTGGGATGGCCTAGGAGACAGGCTGTAGAAGGATGCAGGGTGCTGGGCACAAGCAGAGGCCTCTGATTTCTGGGAGCTCAGGGCCTAGGGCCTCATCGGGGTCACCCAGGCCGGCAACCTGTATGGAATGGGAGTCAGGGGCCCAGAGTACCCAGGCCTTCCCAGCAAGAGGTCCAGAGTGACCCTGCACACATCCCCTGGGATGGGTGTGGGGGCCAGGAGCTGGCCGTCTGGTGTCTATTGAAGACTTTCCGAGCTTCTGCTCTCAGGAGAGGGAGGGAGCAGCAGGGGTCAGGGCCTCCCTGCGGCTGCCTTTCTGGGTGCTGAGGTTGCTGGTGGGGGTGTTAGGGCCAGGACTGAACTGGTGTGCCCATGCTTCCTCCTTGCAGAGGAGCCATGGAGGAGGTGGTGATTGCTGGCATGTCCGGGAAGCTGCCCGAGTCAGAAAACATGCAGGAGTTCTGGGCCAATCTCATCAATGGCGTGGACATGGTCACAGATGATGACCGGCGCTGGAAGGCGGGTGAGTAGCCTGAGGCTTCCCTGGCTGGGGCTGGTGGCTCAAGCTCTACCTTTGCCCCTTAAGCCAGCCCCCCAGTCCCATCTGCAGAGCCACTGGTCCCCCTTGAGTGAGGCTAGGCTGTGGTCTCTCCTTGGACCTGGTGCCAGGGTAGCCTGGGGAGTGGGGTATCCCAGGGGTATTGTCTACCTGTGTATGGAGGAGCCAGATTCAGAGGATGGTAGTAGGCTGGCATTCTGTGTGAAAGGAGCCAGAGCCCTTTGGCCTTGCCGCCCTCACCATGTCCACAACTGGCAGGTAGGACATGGGTACTCTTGGGGAGGCTGGTCCAGTTCCCCCACGCCCAGTAAGTTCTTTCGCAGAGTGGCTCTACCTGACAGACGGGCTATGAGTCAGCATGGTGGAGCCCAGGCTCTGCAGCTGAGCCAGCCTCAGGCCAGGCAGAGGGTCCCAGTACCTCTCCAGTCTGGGGCTCTTCTCAAGGTAGGGCTGGGGCCTTGTGTGGCAGACCTGATGGTACCAGTGTCTACCCCTCCCTGGGAGTCCACTCAATTGCTGGGGCCTCCTGGGCATAGCAGAGGCTCCTTAACTCCACTGTGGCCACTTCCAGGGGCCCGTGGCATCCCATAGGCACCCCACCTCCGAGTGGTCTCAGTCAGGATGAAAAATGCCTATGTGTCCTTATAGGACTTTATGGCCTACCCCGGAGGTCTGGCAAGTTGAAGGACCTGTCCCAGTTCGATGCCTCCTTCTTCGGGGTGCACCCCAAGCAGGCGCACACAATGGACCCCCAGCTACGGCTGCTGCTAGAAGTTGCTTATGAGGCCATCGTGGATGGAGGTGGGTCTCACGGACTGCTGGCTGACCCCGGGGTGTCTCCAGGGTTCCTACTGCCTATTTAGAAAATGCAGCACGTACTGAGGGTAGAATGGGGTTGCCAGTCCTGCCTTCCCCGGTCATGTCCCTGGTCTAGCCCAGCCTCCTGATCTGGGGCCAACGGGCTCAGGGAGGCGTGGGCCCCTGGGTAGGTCACAGTTTCACAACTGCGCCCAGAGGTGTCTGGGGCGTGCCCTGATGTACCAGTTTCTTCACTTGTGATGTCTAGCTGGTCGTGGAGCAAGGGCTGGGGTGATAGGCCAAGCAGGAGGCTCTGGAATGGGGAGCCTGGTCCCCCCATCATCTTGCCATTGTGGTCCCCTGTGAGTGACCACTTTCCCCAGGCAAACAGAGGCAACACCAGTTTTTCTGTGTCTCCCTGTCCTGCCCTCCCTGTTCCCCTCCAACCCCAGCCTCCAGGCCGCCTCAGCCTCCACCTGCCCTGATTTGGGGGGCTGAAGTGGCCAGGGAGCCCTGCTACCCCCTGGCATTTCCACCCCATCCTGGTGTCTGACCTCACATGAGTCTTCAAGTCATCTCCTTGTCTTTGGGTCCAGCCACTTGGGCTTGTCCCTCCCACCAGCCATAGCAGGCCCTTCTAGGGGGCTGAGGGTAAGCCTCAGGGACCTCACCACTCCACCCCGGTGAGTAAGATGCTAGGTGATTCCTGGGGTTGCTGTTGGTGCTGTTGGGCATGGAAAGGTCCTGGCGTCCTACGAGGAGGAGGTGGAGGCCCTTCTCCCAGGCCCAACCCAGAGACCTTGGGTGCCACTCACAGGGCCTGGCCAGTGTCCCTCTCTCCTTTCCAAGCCTGGACACTCAGCCTTTGTCTCCTCTGTCCCCTTATCTCCGCTCATCCCAGTGCAGGCTGCTCAGTGCTGGGGATCTCATTGGCCATCAAAGCCTTCTGGGAACACCAGGGGTCAGAGTGGCCTGGGACAATGCTGGCTTCTGTCCTTCATGCCTGGCGCCCTCTCCTGGGCCCACCTGCCCCCCCCATGCCCTGTTTCCTCTATGACCTGGTTCCTGACCTCAAACCTACCTGGGCAGGAGGCGGCCTTGTCCTCTTTGGGCCCTTCCAGAGTCTCACTGGGATAGAGCTCTTGTCCCCCAGGCTGGAAGGGCTGCACCCCAGAATGGGGCAGGAGAGCAGGGTGGTACCACAGGGCCCAGCCACCGGGCCTGACTACTGCTTCTGGTAGGCATCAACCCGGCCTCCCTCCGAGGGACACACACTGGCGTCTGGGTGGGCGTGAGTGGCTCTGATGCCTCGGAGGCCCTGAGCCGAGACCCTGAGACACTCCTGGGCTACAGCATGGTGGGCTGCCAGCGTGCCATGATGGCCAACCGGCTCTCCTTCTTCTTTGATTTCAAAGGTGGGTCCTGCCCAGCTTTCTGGGGTGGGTTTCAGCCCAACATGGCATGAACTTACTGCATGGTGTATTCCACCATGTGATGGGAAGACCCTCGGGTCAGGTAGGCTGATGTCCAGCTGGAGTGCCCCATCACACCCACCTGAGCTGTGGTGCCCTCCACAGGGCCCAGCGTCGCCCTGGACACGGCCTGCTCCTCTAGCCTGCTGGCCTTGCAGAACGCCTTCCACGCCATTCGCAATGGGGAGTGCCCTGCCGCCATCGTAGGTGGCATCAACCTCCTGCTGAAACCCAACACGTCCGTGCAGTTCATGAAGCTGGGAATGCTCAGCCCTGAGGGCACCTGCAAGTCCTTTGATGCAGAGGGTGAGTGGTGGGTGGTAGAGCAGGTGTCTCCATAGTCCCTCGGGGTCTGGGGCAACCAGGACGGTGAGACAGCACAGCTCCCCACCTACCTGATGCTGTGCAGGATCCTGCCCACCCCTGGAGCCCTTCCTGGTGGTCCCTGCCCCAGCAGTCTCTCCCAGAGCACCCATCTGATGGCCCATAGCGGGGGCCTGGGTGGGCTGAGTCCTAGGCTGAGGTGCTTCTCTCCTCAGGGAATGGGTACACCCGGGCAGAGGCCGTGGTGGCTGTCCTGCTGACCAAGAAGTCCCTGGCTCGGCGGGTGTATGCCACCGTCCTGAATGCCGGCACCAACACGGATGGCTGCAAGGAGCAAGGTGGGCTGGGGGGTGGCTGGCAGGGGCAGCAGGTGGAGGTGGTGGGCAGTGACAAGTGACAGGTGCTGAGCCTGAGCGCCCTGCAGGTGTGACCTTCCCCTCTGGAGAGGTCCAGGAGCAGCTCATCCGCTCCCTGTACTCACTGGTTGACCCCAACTCACTCGAGTACATTGAAGCCCACGGCACAGGCACCAAGGTGAGGCTCCCACCACGGTCCCGACCCCAGCCCATACCTGGAAAGATGCCCCAGATAGAACTTTTGACTCTACCCATGTTCCCCAAAGGTGGGTGATCCCCAGGAGCTGAACGGCCTCGCCCGTGCCATCTGTGTCTCCCGCCGGGACCCACTGCTGATTGGGTCCACCAAGTCCAACATGGGGCACCCAGAGCCGGCTTCAGGGCTTGCGGCCTTGGCCAAGGTAGGTGGGGTTGGGCTCTGGAGCCTCTGGTTCCCTGTCCACTGGGACATGGCCATGTGCTACTAAAACACTCATCTCGTGGCCACTGCTGTCTCTGCTTCCTCTCTGCCATGTGGAGGCCAAGGCTTCCTACCAGGCGCCCCTATCCCCACAGTCTTAGCAGAAGCACTGAAGCAGGGATGGCAGGAGCACCTGCTGAGCCTTCCCTATGGGTCTGACATGCTGCCTAGTGTCTGCTATGCAGAGCCTGTTCAGGGGGGCCAGGTCAGGTGGGACGTACAAGGTGGAAACATACTAGAGGCAGCCCCAGCTCAGTAGGGCCTGCCTTGTACAGGGTGCCTGCCAAACCCATAGATTCTTGATCCACCAGCAGGGACCTGGGGGCCTTCAGGGCGGCTGTAACAGGAGACCGGGCATAGAAGCCCAGGTGACTAAGGAAACCTGGTCACTATTGCTGTGTCCCCTCTAGTCCTACCATCTGCTACAGCCACTGACTGCAGCTGAGGCACGGCACTTGGGTTGGGGTATGGCTGAGAGGCCTTAATGTCCAGGCCCACAGCCGATCTCTGAGGTACCTGTCAGACTGGGAGATGGCAGGGCCTCAGATAAAGGCAGGAGGCCCAGCAATAGGGTATCGTTTGTCTAGCACCCCAGCACATGGGGGCCAAGCTGCAAGGAAGGCTTGACAATTCAAACCCCTGTGCTGTGGTGAGACTGGGTTGGGGACAGGAAGTGCATTGGAGAGGACAAGATCACCCTAGACCAAGTGGGTGCTGGGGACGGCATCTGCATCTGGCTTGGGCCAGCTGGGCAGACCAGCAGGGCAGCTGCTCACTACCATGTGCCCCACAGGTGCTGCTGTCGCTGGAGCATGGGCTGTGGGCCCCCAACCTGCATTTCCATAACCCCAATCCCGAGGTCCCAGCTCTGCTGGATGGACAGCTGCAGGTGGTGGACCGACCCCTGCCTGTCCGAGGTGGCAATGTGGGCATCAGTTCTTTCGGCTTCGGTGGTTCCAATGTACACGTCATCCTGCAGCCCAACACGCAGCCAGACCCTACACCTGCTGCACACGCCACCCTGCCCCGTCTGCTGCAGGCCAGCGGACGCACCCTTGCAGCTGTGCAGGGCCTGCTGGAGGAGGGCCTGCGGCACAGCCAGAACCTAGCTTTTGTGAGCATGCTCAATGACATTGCGGCCACACCTGTGTCCGCCATGCCATTCCGAGGCTATGCTGTGCTGGGTGGCGAGGGTGGCCCCGAAGTGCAGCAGGTGCCGGCCGGCGAGCGCCCACTGTGGTTCATCTGCTCGGGTGAGTCATACCCTGCCCCTGTGGTCCCAGGGGGTTGACCCCTTCCCTGGGGCAGGCAGGCCAGAGCCAGCAGCCACCCCTGATACAAGTTCTGTGACAGGCATGGGCACACAATGGCGCGGGATGGGGCTGAGCCTCATGCGCCTAGAGAGCTTCCGCACTTCCATCTTGCGTTCCGATGAGGCTGTGAAGCCGTTTGGCCTGAAGGTGTCCGAGCTGCTGCTGAGCACAGACGAGAGTACCTTCGATGATATTGTCCACGCTTTCGTGAGCCTCACTGCCATCCAGGTAGGGCCCAGCCTGCCACCACCCTCACCTTCCCTGGTGCCCAGGAGCTGCTCTTATGTATTGGCGGCTCCTGGTCGCATCTGGGCCACAGCACTAACACGCTCTTTCCTTCGGGGAGGGGAGGTGGGTTTCCAGGGAGGCCAGGGTGCTGGGACCGCAGATGCTTCTTTCCTCCAGTTATCCTGGAGGACAGGTGGGATGGGATGTGGAAATAGCCTGGGGATCCTGACATGTCCTGCTCCCACCCCCAGATTGCACTCATAGACCTGCTAAGCTCCATGGGGCTGCGGCCTGATGGCATCATTGGGCACTCCCTGGGCGAGGTGGCCTGTGGCTATGCCGATGGCTGTCTCTCCCAGGAAGAGGCTGTCCTCGCTGCCTACTGGAGGGGCCAATGCATCAAGGAAGCCAACATTCCACCAGGCGCCATGGCTGCCGTGGGTAGGCATACTCCTGTGCCCTCGTTTCCCCCACCATGACCTGAAGGGCTCCCTGAGAGTTGGCTTACCAGGCACCTCCATCACTCCCGCTGCGGGGGGGGGCGGCAGGAGTCAGGTCCTCACCTCAGTCCCAGCATGGCTCCCGTGGGGTGAGTGACCCCGGCCACCTGGGGAAGCCCTGCTCAGATGCACCCTGTGTGTGTGTGTCCCTGTGCCCGGCACACTCACTGATGGGCATCAGCCTGTCCTGGGCCAATGTGGCAATGAGCATATGCCCCTACACGTGTGAGATGCCTAGGGCATTGATGAAGTCAGCGAATAGGATGTTGGGGTCGCCTCAGCCTGGCACCCATCCCTGAGCTTCAGGGGTTTACACTCAGCAGTGACTGGAGAGGACAGGCTGCAGAGAATGACCCCAGGGAGCCACTGTCCTGAAGGATGGGCAGGAGGGTAAGGCTAAGGCCTCTACAGCCCTGTCTGTACCCAGGCCTTGGTCATCACCACTGAGCTGAGACCTGGCTCCCAACCTGGGAGCCAACTCTGTAATGACATTTCCGCCCACATCAAGCACAGCAGGAGGTAAAAGTACCTCATGAAACCTCCGCGACTATCATTACTGAACCCCCTCATTACCAAGACAACCCCAGGCAGCATCTTCAGTGGGAAGGACTGGGTAGGCGTAGTTCAGGGTCCCAGTGGTCAGTTCAATCCTCTGAGGCTGGCTCTGTCCATAGGCTTGTCCTGGGAGGAGTGTAAACAGCGCTGCCCCCCGGGCGTGGTACCTGCCTGCCACAACTCTGAGGACACAGTGACCATCTCGGGACCTCAGGTGGGTCCTATAGCCAGAGTGGGCTATTCTGTCCCCTGTACATGTCATTGCATGTCTGGCCAAGGACATGGTCCTGGGAGACCAGGCCTTTGTTTGTGCCCCACCAGCCTCTGATGAGCCTGGATGCTGGGTCGGGTTTTTCCCCAGGTTCCCTCTCCATCTCTTCCCCATTCCCTAGGGGTGAGCTTGGCACCCTCACCTGCCCAAGCCCAGAGCTGGACGGGCAGCTTACAGGTTCATTTGGGCCCTTGATGCCGCAGGCCTCAGTGTCGGAGTTTGTGGAGCAGCTAAAGCAAGAGGGCGTGTTTGCCAAGGAGGTGCGGACGGGTGGCATGGCCTTCCATTCCTACTTCATGGAGGCCATTGCACCCACACTGCTGCAGGCACTCAAAAAGGTGGGCTGGCAGCTGGGGCGGGCAGGGGTATGGGGAGCACATGCGGGGATGCAGTTGGGGAACAGGTGGGTGAAGTGTCTGGGGCCTGGCACTAACCCCACTGTGTGTACAGGTGATCCGGGAGCCACGGCCACGTTCGGCCCGCTGGCTCAGTACTTCCATACCTGAGGCGCAGTGGCACAGCAGCCTGGCGCGCACCTCCTCCGCCGAGTACAATGTCAACAACCTGGTGAGCCCCGTACTGTTTCAGGAGGCACTACGGCATGTGCCCGCACATGCAGTGGTGCTGGAGATCGCCCCTCATGCCCTGCTGCAGGTACGTGGTTGGCCTGGGGTGCGGGAGCCCTCAGACAGGGTGGGGGTGCAGAGGTCGGGAGCTCAGCTGTCCTGCCACCCCAGGCTGTCCTGAAGCGTGGTCTCAAGCCTGGCTGCACTATCATCCCCCTGATGAAGAAGGACCACAGGGACAACCTGGCGTTCTTCCTCAGCAACACAGGCAAACTGTTCCTCACTGGGTGAGTCTTGCTGCCCATCACACTCCCTGAGCTGCTCGCAGGCATTGGGGATGGCACAGGTGTGTGAGTGGGGTTTGAGCCCTAGATGTTCCCTGGGGGCGGGCAGGCCAGACCTGGAGCCCTGTGCTGCCCTGGCTGGCTGTCACTGCCTGGAGTCCCTGCCTCCTGACTCAGCTGACTCTTGAGGTCTTTGGGAGATGGGGAGGTCAGGGCCAAGTGAGCTGCTCACACCAAGCCCCCATGCCAGCATCCACCCCAACCCCAACGCCCTGTTCCCACCTGTGGAGTTCCCGGCTCCGCGAGGAACCCCCCTCATCAGCCCCCACATCCAGTGGGAGCACAGCCAGGCCTGGGATGTGCCTGCTGCCGAGGACTTCCCCAACGGTTCAAGCAACTCCTCCGCCACCATCTATAGCATCGGTGAGCTGGTTGCCTGGCCCAGGGTGGGAGGGGCTTCTCCTTCGCAGCTATGTAGGTGCTGAAGCCTATGCCACCTGCAGATGCCAGCCCCGAGTCTCCAGACCACTACCTGGTAGATCATCGCATCGACGGCCGTGTCCTCTTTCCTGCCACTGGCTACCTGTGCCTGGTTTGGAAGACACTGGCTCGCACCCTGGGCCTGGCCATGGAGGAGGTGCCTGTGGCATTTGAGGACGTGGTACTACACCAGGCCACTATCCTCCCCAAGACTGGTGAGGGTCATCCCAGGAGCAGAGACTGGTACAGTTGGGGGGAAGGGGCTGCTGACCTCTGACAGCTAACCCCGACCTCTGCTGCCTCACAGGGATGGTGACCCTGGAGGTGCGGCTCCTGGAGGCCTCACGCACCTTTGAGGTGTCGGAGAATGGCAGCCTGATCGTAAGCGGTGAGTGGGGCAGCCCAGGGAGCTGAGGGGGTAGTGCCCACTGGCCATGCTGCCCATTCACCCTCATGCTTCTCTATACCTGACCACAGGAAGGGTGTACCAGTGGGAGAACTCCGACCCCACACTCTTTGACCACCCAGAAGGCGCCGACCCTGCCGACCCCACAGCCCCCTTCTGCTTGACCCAGTCCGACGTTTACAAGGAGCTACGTCTGCGTGGCTATGACTACGGCCCCCACTTCCAGGGCATTCTCGAGGCCTGCTTAGAAGGTGAATGGAGGACCACTGGCCACACTGCCACCTGAGCTGTTGGGATGGGGAGGACACAAAAAGCTCCCCAACATTAGGGTGTATGGTTGCTGAAAGCCATCCTGGCTCGGGAGGGAGCTGAGGGGCCTGGTGGGCTCTGGGGTGCAGTCCCAAGAGACCTGGAGGCCATACCAACCAGACCCTATGTGCAGGCGAATCCGGCAAGCTGCTGTGGAAGGACAACTGGGTGACCTTCCTGGATACCATGCTGCAGATGTCCATCCTGGGTACTGGCCAGCGTATCTTGCGCTTGCCCACCCGTATCACCGCCATCCACATCAACCCCGCTATCCACAGGCAGAAGGTGTACTCGCAGGGTGACAACCAAGGTAGCCTGGTCCCCCTGCATGTTCCCATATCCCTGGCCCTGCACGCACCCCTGTGCCCCCTCATCCCGGCCCCACATCTCTCACTCCTGGCCAGCCTTGGCCACACTCACCCAGCATGTCCCCACAGTGGCCGATGTGGTAGTGAGCAGTTGTCTAAGCACCACAGTGGCTGGGGGTGCCCACTTCTCGCGGCTCCACGCCTCGGCAGCCCCACGGCGGCAGCAGGAACAGTTGGCACCCATCCTGGAGAAGTTTTGTTTCACCCCATATATGGAGAGCGGGTGCCTGTCTGAGAGTGCTGCCCTGCAGGAGGAGCTGCAGATATGCAAGGGTAAGGCCCGCCTCACACCCTGGCTGTGAGCTGGGTGGGGAGCAGCCAGCCAGGCCCTGTCCATCCTGTTGTATGCCCTTGGTGACAGGGAGCTCTTCATCTCTCAAGACAGCAATTGCTAGGGCACATTCGGGCTTTGCAACCTCTTGACCCCGAGCCAGGATAACTTTTCGTCACCAACACACCCTGATGTTCGGGAACCCTTTGTGTCCCCCCATCCCAAACCTGCATCCCTGTGTGGCCCCCTGGAGCACCTCAGCCTGCCTCCCATTCCCCAGTCCTTGGTCTTTATTCCTGGGAACTGTTTGCCAGTCTTGAAAGAGGCCTAGGGTACAAAGATGACAGGCCAGCCCCGTCCTGACTGTGCCACCAGCTTCCCACTCAGGTGCAGACCAGTTATCCTTCTACCCTCGACTGACAGTGGGACACCCAGGCCCAGGGTGGGGAGTAGGGTCAGGGAGCCCATCCTCCATAGAGTTGCACCTTGGTGGGCACAGCAGCCCCTGTGGGCCAGGGCAGCTTCCTCACCACACATTCACTCTGGGTGGAATCAACATCTGATGACCTGGCTGCTCCCTCCTAGTCCTTCCAGCTGTTTCTTGTTCCAGGGGCTGGAGCAGGTGGTAGCCCTGGGAGGACCGAGTGGGTCTACGTCCCCACTCCAGGCAGACTCTGCCACCAGGAACTCGGAACACCAGACCTGTCTCCTTCCCCAGGGCTAATGCAGGCACTGCAGACCAAGGTGACGCAGCAGGGGCTAAAGATGGCGGTGCCTGGGCTAGACGGGGCACAGGCCCCCTGGGAGCCTCCACAACAGGCACTGCCCCGGCTGCTGTCAGCTGCCTGCCAGCTCCAGCTCAATGGGAACCTGCAGCTGGAGCTGGCACAGGTACTGTCCCAGGAAAGGCCCCTGCTGGCTGAGGACCCCCTGCTTAGTGGCCTCCTGGACTCACCGGCACTCAAGGCCTGCGTGAACACAGCTTTGGAGAATATGCCCAGCCTCCGGATGAAGGTGGTGGAGGTGGGTGCCACACGCCTGCTGCTTACAGCCTCTCCCCAGCAGTGGTGGGAACCACCCCACATCGGCTATGTGGAGGAAGGTGGGGGCACAGGGAGGCTGTGGGAGATGAAGGAGCTGTGCTAGCTTCATGTAGCACATGGGTCGTGGGCTCCCCAAGGATACACCATAGACAGGGACTCTGGAGACAGGCCTTGTCAGTACATGCCTATTGACTGCTGTTGTCTTGTGGTTGGTGGCAGCCCCACGGACGTTTGCCCAGCCCCGGGTCAGGGGCACCCACTTGATCCAAACTGAACCCCGATATCTCCCCCCAGGTGTTGGCTGGCCACGGTCACCTGTATTCCCGCATCCCGGCCCTACTCAACACACAACCCCTTCTGCAGCTGAGCTACACTGCCACTGACCGCCACCCCCAGGCCCTGGAGGCTGCCCAGGCCAAGCTGCAGCAGCTTGACGTGGCCCAGGGTCAGTGGGACCCTGTGGAGCCTGTCCCCAGCAGCCTGGGCACCGCTGACCTCCTGGTGTGCAACTGTGCGGTGGCTGCCCTCGGGGACCTGGCCTCGGCCCTCCGCCACATGGCCTCTGCCCTCAGGGAGGGGGGCTTTCTGCTGCTGCACACACTGCTCAGAGGACATCCTCTTGGTGAGACGGTGGCCTTCCTCACCGGCTCCTGGCCACAGCCTGGGCAGGGCCTCCTGAGTCAGGTGTGGCCCTGGGCTGAGGGGATGGAGGGCAGGGTGGGGGCCAGGCCAGAGGAGCACTGACTCCCCACCCCACAGGATGAGTGGGAGAGCCTGCTTGCGAGGACCTCACTGCACCTGGTGAGCCTGAAGACGTCCTTCTATGGCTCTGCACTCTTCCTGTGCCGCCGGCCTGCGCCACAAGAAAGCCCCATCTTCCTGCCTGTAGAGGACACCAGCTTCCGATGGGTGGACTCTCTGAAGGTCAGTTTCTGCCCAACCTCCTGGCACCCAGAACAGGCTGACTGGCTGAGTGTGCACGGCATGGTGGGGTTCTCCTGGAAGCTGACCCTTCTCTGGCCCACAGAGCATCCTGTCTGACTCCTCCTCCCGGCCTGTGTGGCTTAAGGCCGTCAGCTGCCCCACCTCGGGTGTGGTGGGCCTGGTCAATTGTCTTCGCAAAGAGCCTGGTGGGCACCGGATCCGGTAGGAGAGCTCCCCTCCTACTCCCCTCCCTTCCTCTCCCCTCACTCGCCTGTCTCTCCCTACGTACCCCTCTCACTGTCTGCGGACCCGTAGGTGTATCCTCCTCTCCAGCCTCAGCAGTACAGCTCACGTCCCTGAGGTGGGCCCAGGCTCTGCAGAGCTGCAAAAGGTGCTACAGGGAGATCTGGTGATGAACGTCTACCGTGACGGGGACTGGGGGACCTTCTGCCACTTTCCACTGGAGCAGGGTGAGCCCAAACACTGTCCTGACAGCGCCCGGGAGACCCCAGTTGGGAGGCACAGTGGCAGCCCTGCTTTTCTGTTCTGTAGACAAGCCGGAGGAGCAGACGGCTCACGCCTTCGTGAATGTGCTCACACGGGGGGACCTCTCCTCTATCCGCTGGGTCTGCTCCCCCTTGCGCCATGCCCAGCCCACTGGCCCTGGTGCCCAGCTCTGTACCGTCTACTATGCTTCACTCAACTTCCGAGACATCATGCTGGCCACGGGCAAGCTGTCTCCTGATGCCATCCCAGGTGCAGGTCCATGGGACTCCAGGGACTAGACTGGCAAGGTGGGGTTTGGGGCCACCGTAGCCTCCCTATGAAGGCAAAAGGCAGGGCCTGCCTGAGGACCTGGCCCTTCCAGGCCCAAGCTGGTGATGCCAGGGTCCCCCTTCCCCCTACCACAGGAGCCCCCTTGGGAGGGAAGGTGCAGGGGATGCCAGGCTCATTGCCATCTGCCCCAGGGAAATGGGCTGCCCGTGACTGCATGCTGGGCATGGAGTTTTCGGGCCGAGATGCCAGCGGCAAGCGTGTGATGGGGCTGCTACCTGCTGAAGGCCTGGCCACCTCTGTCCTGCTATCGCCAGACTTCCTCTGGGATGTTCCCTCTAGCTGGTGAGCACTTTGGGCTGGTCGTTGGCTTGTGGCCCCACAGGGATGGCAGCTAGTGGTCAGGCCTATGCTGACCCTATGTGCTGTGCCCCCAGGACCTTGGAGGAGGCGGCTTCAGTGCCTATTGTCTATACCACAGCCTACTATGCACTAGTGGTACGTGGGCGTATGCGGCGCGGGGAGACTGTGCTCATCCACTCAGGCTCAGGTGGTGTGGGCCAGGCTGCCATCACCATCGCCCTCAGCATGGGCTGCCATGTCTTCACCACTGTGGGTAAGGCACTGCCCCAGAGCCACCCTCCCCACCCCATCCCCTCCCAGCTCCTGCTCCCAGGCTCACAGCGGTGCCTATCTCTCCAGGGTCTGCTGAGAAGCGGGCGTACCTCCAGGCTAGGTTTCCCCAGCTGGACGACACCAGCTTCGCCAACTCCCGGGACACATCATTTGAGCAGCACGTGCTAAGGCACACAGGCGGGAAGGGTGAGCATCCCCTGCTTGAGACCTCCCCTCTCCCCTCACCTCTCCTTCTCCACTTCCCTCCCCCCTTGAGCTGACCTGAGGGAGACATTGGCCCAGGGAGGGACAGGGTCTGGCCCTCAGGGCTGTTGTGGGTGGGCCAGGCAGCAGGTGTGACTGTGGAATTTTTCTGGATCCCAGGTGTTGACTTGGTCCTGAACTCGCTGGCAGAGGAGAAGCTGCAGGCCAGCGTGAGGTGCTTGGCACAGCACGGCCGCTTCCTAGAAATTGGCAAATTCGACCTTTCCAACAATCACCCACTGGGTGAGGCCGGCAGCACCTGGGTGGGCAGGGGTAGTGGGATGGGGCATGGGGGCAGCTGAGCAGTTCTGAGCCCCGAGTGAGTGCACCCTGCCCACAGGCATGGCCATCTTCCTGAGGAACGTGACCTTCCATGGGATCCTGCTGGATGCGCTCTTTGAGGGGGCCAGTGCCGACTGGCGGGAGGTGGCAGCGCTCCTGCGGGCTGGCATCCGTGACGGGGTGGTAAAACCCCTCAAGTGCACTGTGTTCCCCCGGGCCCAGGTGGAGGATGCCTTCCGCTACATGGCCCAGGGGAAGCACATCGGCAAAGTCGTCGTGCAGGTGAGGGGGAGAACTCAGGCACCCCAGATTGCAGCCCCTTGGGCAGCGCCTGAGTAGATGGGTGCCACTTGATGCAGGTGCGTGCGGAGGAGCCCGAGGCTGTGCTGAAGGGGGCCAAACCCACCCTGATGGCAGCTGTTGCCAAGACCTTCTGCCCTGCCCATAAGAGCTACATCATTGCTGGTGGCCTAGGTGGCTTTGGCCTGGAACTGGCACAGTGGCTGGTGCAGCGGGGAGCCCAGAAGCTTGTGCTGACCTCCCGCTCGGGTATCCGGACAGGTGAGTGGGCTGAGTGTGTGTGGGCCCTGCCCAGTCACCCACAGTGGTGCACACTAAGGGTGCTGGGCTTCATTCTCCGTCCCCTACAGACTCAAAGGGTGGGCTGAAGGGGCTCAGCAGCACCCCCATTTCCCTCGCCCTGTGTGTGGGCAGCAGCTGCGCACCCTGGCTCAGCCTGCAGCCCTGTGTCCCACAGGCTACCAGGCCAAACAGGTCCGTGAATGGAGACGCCAGGGTGTGCAGGTACTGGTGTCTGCCAGCAATGCCAGCTCACTGGAGGGTGCTCGGGGCCTCATCGCCGAGGCTGCACAACTCGGGCCCGTGGGAGGCGTCTTCAACCTAGCCATGGTGAGAGAAGGCCCCTGGCAGAGCCCTCCAAAGCCCTGGAACCAGGGGTGGCCACTGCAACCACCGCAGATGCTGAGGGTGCCTCCCCTCAGGTCCTGAGAGATGCCATGCTGGAGAACCAGACCCCAGAGTTCTTCCAGGACGTCAGCAAGCCCAAGTACAGCGGCACTCTGAACCTGGACAGGTGGGACACAGCCCACTCCCTACACAGCCCTCTGCCTACCCCCCAGCCCTGCCAGCCCCTTCGGTGATCTGAGCTAAGGGGCTGAGATGGTTTGTCAGAGGTCCTCCCTAGCCTTTCCTGGGGGCTAAAGGGACAGGGACCCCAGGGATGGTTGGCCAGTGGAGAGTGACACTAGCACCCACAGGGTGACCCGGGAGGCATGTCCTGAGCTGGATTACTTTGTGGCCTTCTCCTCGGTGAGCTGTGGGCGTGGCAACGCTGGCCAGACCAACTACGGCTTTGCCAACTCTTCCATGGAGCGCATCTGTGAGAAGCGCCGGCATGACGGCTTCCCAGGTGGGCCCCTGTCCTAAGGCCCCAACCTGCCCTTACCCCTCCCCAAGGCCCTGGCTCAGCAGCTTTCTTGCTCTTCTTGCTCCTCAGGCCTAGCTGTGCAGTGGGGTGCCATTGGCGATGTGGGCATCGTCCTGGAGACCATGGGCACCAATGACACAGTTATCGGTGGGACACTGCCCCAACGCATGGCCTCCTGTCTGGAGGTGCTGGACCTCTTCCTGAACCAGCCCTACCCAGTCCTGAGCAGCTTCGTGCTGGCTGAGAAGAAGACCGTGGCACATGGGGACAGGGACAACCAAAGGGATCTGGTGAAGTCTGTGGCACACATCCTGGGTGAGTGCTATCTGTGGGAGCACACACTCGAGGCCCTATCCCCCTGCTGGTGTTATGCTCAGGGGCTGTCCACAACCAGTAGCAGACAGCTCTGCGTGCCTCAATTTCCCCATCTGCAGAAGGGGGAACCTTGCTCACTAGGGTCATCTGTAGAGCTGGGGTACAGGCTGTAACCCCAGCAATAGTGGTTTGGGGAGATGCATAGAGCCACCTTGACCTGGTGTCTACCTAGGCCGTCCCCGCATCTCTCCTGAATCATGACCCGTGTCTCTCTCCCAGGCATCCGGGACCTGGCTGCTGTCAACCTGGACAGCTCTCTGGCGGACCTGGGCCTGGACTCGCTTATGGGTGTGGAGGTGCGCCAGACCCTGGAGCGTGAGCATGACCTGGTGCTGTCCATGCGTGATGTGCGGCAGCTCACACTCCGGAAGCTGCAGGAACTGTCCTCAAAGACTGGCCTGGCCAACGGTGCGTGTAGGCAGTGAGCCAGGCGGGTTGTATGTCCCAGCATGTGACCCGGCACTGGGGAGCACACTCGCTGCAGGCCCTTTCTGAGCTTCTACCCTGTCCCCACCCTGCCATGGCAGCCCAAGTCAGGCCCATATGTGTGTTTAGGTGTCTGATATCTGCCCTGTTTTTGTAGAGCTGGCACCCCCCATGCATAAGGAAGATGGCCTGACCCGGCAACAGTCCCAGCTGAACCTGAGTTCCCTGCTGGTGAACCCTGAGGGCCCCACCTTGACACGGCTCAATGCAGTGCAGAGCTCTGAGCGGCCCCTGTTCCTGGTGCACCCGATTGAGGGCTCCACCACCGTGTTCCACAGCCTGGCCGCCCGACTAAGCATCCCCACCTATGGCCTGCAGTGCACCCGAGGTACGCCAGGGCCCCTCCTAAGCACGGGGCAGGTAGGCACCGGCTGTGTGTAGGCCATGGCTGCTGCCTGCCCCTCTGAGCACCTGGCGCTGCCGTTGCAGCTGCACCCCTGGACAGCATCCAGAGCCTGGCCGCCTACTACATCGACTGCATCAGGCAGGTACAGCCAGAGGGCCCATACCGCGTCGCAGGCTACTCCTACGGGGCCTGTGTGGCCTTCGAGATGTGCTCCCAGCTGCAGGCCCAGCAGAGCCCAGCTCCTGCCCACAATAGTCTCTTCCTGTTTGATGGCTCACACACCTTTGTGCTGGCCTACACCCAGGTGAGCGCCAGGTCAGGTCCCGGGGGCCTCGGTGAACATCTGGTTCCCTGCCTGCTTCCATGGCTAGGTGGCCATCCTCCGCCTGCTTAGCTGTGCCTCTTCTCCCTACAGAGCTACCGTGCAAAACTAACCCCGGGCTGCGAGGCTGAGGCGGAGACCGAGGCCATGTGCTTCTTCGTGCAGCAGTTCACAGACGCAGAGCACAGCAGGGTCAGTCCAGGATGCTCCCAAGATTTCAGAGAGGGAGACAGGCTGGGCCAGGAACTGAGGATTTGTAGGGTTCTCTCCCCCGCACACACGGGGCTTAGTGTTAAGAGTGAGGAGTCTTAACAGGGAAGAGGCATCCCTTTAAGAGCCTATCCCTCTCTCACAAGGGCACATTGAGGGGGGCTGTGGGTATGGGCCCAAATGTGCTCAGAGCCCATCCCTGCAGGTGTTGGAGGCACTGCTGCCGCTGAAGAGCCTGGAGGAGCGTGTGGCAGCCACCGTAGACCTCATCACCAAGAGCCACCACAGCCTGGACCGCCGCGAGCTGAGCTTTGCCGCCCTGTCCTTCTACCACAAACTGCGAGCGGCTGAGCAGTACACGCCCAAGGCCACGTACCATGGCAATGTGACGCTGCTGCGTACCAAAACAGGCGGCGCCTATGGCGAGGACCTGGGCGCAGACTACAACCTCTCACAGGTGTGCTGGGGAGTGGGTGGAGGGCAACAGCCACCTGGGGCTGGCGGGTGGGACCTCCAGCTCACAGCATCTCCTGCAGGTGTGTGACGGGAAGGTGTCTGTCCACGTCATTGAAGGTGACCACCGCACGCTGCTAGAGGGCAGTGGCCTGGAGTCCATCATCAATATAATCCACAGCTCACTGGCTGAGCCACGCGTGAGCGTGCGGGAGGGTTAGACCTGTGCCTACCCACCCGCCACCAGAAACCCCTCCACCACCCCCACCTCACCTGACCATTCAGCGGGGCTGGGAGGGTCCTGCCAGAGGGACCCCGTCCAGGCCTGGCACCCCTGCCCCTTGTGGCTGCTTAGAAGTAGGTCGCCACGCCGCATCCTACCCACGGTACTGCAGGACACAGAGCCGCTGACTTGGAGACTTCCTGTTCTGTGAAAAGCCAGCAAGGTCCCGGGAACCAGGCTGGGCCTTTTGTACTGTGGGGGTTTGCCAGTTGGTTTGTCATTTCTCTGTTTGAACTTGCATATTTATTGCATTGCTGATAAAGACCCCGGGGCCACCCTGAGAAGGTTCCTGGGGCAGTACCTGCCAGACCCCAGGCCTGCTGTCATCCTGTATCCAATGTGCACAGGTGGCCGCCCGGGCCTGCTGGCTGGAGCCCGTCACGACCAGGCCTTGCCCTGCCCACTGCACGGGGGGGTCACGGGGAGGGCCAGTCCCCAAGGAGCCAGGACCCCGGCACAGGCCCTCAGTGTCCCAGCTGCACCCATGATGCTGGGCCGACCTCCGACCCTGCGGACCGCACCGGGCACCGACTCCATTTGTCTGTTTGTTTTTCAAGAACAATTCCAGTTGCTGCTCAGATTTTGAAATTTACTGTAACTGTCAGTGTAAAGAACCATGTCCGGATCCTGTTTCATTTTTACACTAATTTGGTAAAAATGCTGCTCTTGACACCCTGTCCTCCTGAGTCCCCCACGATTAAACCACATGCGAGCTCTGGCCTCTGGTCTTTCTCTCCTCCCACGCTAGCAGCTGCAAGTTCCCGCCCCCCCCCCCAAGATTCCCACGCGCTTGGGCCCAGGAGGAATCAGTTGGTGCATGCCCCAGGGCCAGGTCAGGGAGTGAGGAATTACCTGGCCATGGACACCCACCCTCTCCCACTTAGCCCTTCACTGAGATGAAGCAGGCTGGACAGCTCCCGGGAAGCAGGAGGGCCCCAGCAAAGAAACAAGCAATAAGAGGAACACGTAGGGTACAATCATCATAGAGTTCACGGAATTGGCTTCAGCTGATGGGTGAGGCTCAGGCCTACAGTGTAGGAAGATCTTAACTTGAAGCCAGCTGACTGGCTGTTCACCCATCTACAAACACCTCATAATACCCAGACTAGTGTAGGCAACTGAGTGCCATTGCCTGGCCAAGCTGACACTAGACTGGCTGTCACTGAGGTTTAGGCAAAGGAACGGAGGTTGCAGGGAGTGGGGGTCTCCCGGAGTGCCTGGACCCTTGACGGGGGGACCCACAAGGGCAGGACCTGTAGGTGGCAGGATCTGAGCCAGTGGCTAGACATGCACTCATGGTGGAGCCAGGCTGAACCCCCTGAGAGGGTGGGAGTGTGGGGAGGCAGCAAAGGCCAGCCCTGGATTCAGAGAGCTGACCCACCTCCAGGCTTCTGGGAGAACACCATGTTCCCAGAGAGGTTTTTCTACGGGGAGTCAAGCACCGTGTCAAGGGGGTTGCGAGAGGCAGGCTGCACAAACTGCACCTTCCAGAGCAGGGCAGTCCCTGGTGAGCGTAAGTTGGTCACAGGGCTGGGACCACAGCCAAGCCATTGACCGCGGAGCCCACGTGGGGCTGGAAGCTGGAGGGCAAGCCTGGGTGCAGGGGCTGTGGGTGTGTGGTCCAGGTATCAGTGTGGTAAAGACAGGCACATCTGCATACCTCCATAGCTCCTCCCCACACTGGGAAGATGCCTATCCCCCCTTCAGCCCCTCTGGTCTCTCCATCCCTCCCTAGGCAACTCCTATCCCAGCCGTGTAGATGGGGGTGAGGGGCCACCAGAAAGGGACAGACAGGTGGGAGTTAAGTCTGAGCCATTCTCTGGGGGGTCTGGGCTCAACCTGACTCCACTTTAGCTCTGTGGCCTCGGGCATTGAGGGGGCTATGATACCTCAGAGGTCTGCTGGGCCACTGGGCAGTGCCCTCCTGGTTCTTCCAGATCTTTGATTCCTGACTGTGGTGTCTGGGGTCTCTGGAATCCTACCAGCCTGCAGCTGCTCCCTGCCAGGAGCACCCATCCCTCCATGCCCGGAAGGACCCATCAGATGACAGGAGTGCACTCTAGGTCCCAAGTGAACTTTAGAGAGATCTTACAGATTGCTTAACTTCAGATAAGTACTTCTTCGCAACATTATGTTGCGAAGAAGTACTTATCTGAAGTTAAGCAATTATCTCCACTTCTTGGAGTTATTTTCTTTGAATGAATTAAAGTGAAAGTTACTGTAGTGAATTGGAATTCCAGCCAGAGTAGTGCGGACTGGATTTACCCTCACATGTCAAAAAAACCAAAGCACCAGACAACATATGTGAAGTGAGGATTCCGGACACCAGACGGTAAAGGATAGTGATCCCTGTGGGGAGTGAGGATCCTTGTGAGTTGGCCCTTGGGTTGCCTTGGTCTTCTACCTGGAGTTGCTGACAGTCCAGGGAGACAGGTGGCTGGAGGTGGCAGGATGGCACCAGAGAGCTGCACAGAGAGCACAGGTCTGCAGAGAGTTCTTGAGCTTGGTTGAGCACCCTCCAGCATGGGCATATGAGGGAACCAGGTGAACCTGGAACAAAACTCAAGTGTCTTCATGGAAACAGGGCCAGGTGCTTGCATGGGACCAGCTGCTCACACCAGCCACAGAAAACACCATTCACAGGACACTGAAGAGGGTGCTTGGAAGGACCTAGTTGCTATAGTTCCTAATTAGCTGTGGCTCCACGTGGAAAAAAAAGATTTTGAAAGCATGACCTCAAAGGTTCAAGTGATTTTCAAGTAAACTTAACTCTATTCCAGGACAAAGCTCAAGAATATTGAGGTAAATTTCACAAACCCTGGCAACTGATAAAAACAGCAGGCATTCAAAGAAGCTGGATGGGCCAGGCTCGGTGGCTCAACCTATAATCCCAGCACTTTGGGAGGCCAAGGCAAGTGGATTGCATGAGTCCACGGGTTAGAGACCAGCCCAGGCAACTTGGTGAGACCTCGTCTCTACAATAAATCAAAAATTATCTGGGCATGGTAGCGCGCGCCTGTAGTCCCAGCTACAGGGAAGGCTGAAGTGGAAGGATCACCGGAGCCCAGCAGGTCAAGGCTGGGGTGGCCATGAGCATGTCACTGCACTCCAGCCTGGGCAACAGAGTGAGAATCCAACTCAAAAGGAAAAACAAAGTTTACATGCTGAAATTTATTTACTGAAACATTTGACTTGCATTGATGCCTTACATTCCTGATTTTTTTTTTTTAAGACAGAATCTTGCTCTGTCACTCAGGCTGCAGCCTCAAACTCCTGGGCTCAAGTGATCCTCCTGCTTCAGCCTCCTGAAGTAGCTGGTACTACAGGCTCATAACACCACACCTGGCTAATTTTTATTTATTGCAGAGACTGGGATCTCACTGTGTTGCCCAGGCTGGTCTTGAACTTGCCTCAAATGATCTTCCCAACTTGGCCTCCCAAAGTACTGGGATTACAGGCATGAGCCACTGTGCCTGTCCCATTCCTGCATTTATATTAAAAATTCACACATAAATGAAAATGGAAAAACTGTCAATAGCTGGTTTCTGTCCCTGATTTTGATGCCATGGAAAAATATATATCTAACACTCAGAACTACTAATAACAAGAAGAAGAGAATTATTTTGTTGAGGATGAAATGTCTCCCATTATATTGGAATGTTAAGCACATTCTCCATGTATGTGGCATGCTTGTGGGATGTCTTTTGGCATAACTGGTACACATCTGGCATGGATGGCACACAGATTGATGTCTTCAAAAAGGTCAACCAGGTGGGCCTTGCATGCCTCCTGCAAGCACCAATCGCTGTGCTCTGGAAGCATAAATCTATTTGGAAGTCCTGAGCAGTTTCTTTTTTTTTTTTGAGTTGGAGTCTCACTCTGTCGCCCAGACTGGAGCGCAGTGGCCGCTCCCCGCCACCGCAGCCTCTACCTGCTGGGCTCCGGCGATCCCTCCGCCTCAGGCTTCCAAGTAGCCAAAACTACAGGCGTGCGCTACCATGCCCGGCTAATTTTTGATTTATTGTAGAGGTGAGGCCCCGCCAAGTTGCCCAGGCGGGTCTCGAACCCTCAGGTTCAGGCAATCCACTCACCTCAGTCTCCCAAAGTGCTGAGATTACAGGCTGAGCCACCGAGCCCGGCCCTGAGCAGTTTCTAACACCAGACTCTGGAAGGGAAATCTGAATCAGTGGGCCAGTGGATTTCTGAGAATGTCTTGTTGTAACAGAGTGCCGGGTACTAGGCCTGTGATGGAGGTTTTTACTCTTAAAGGAGGGCACACTTGCTGGCAGCTTTGGTAGCCAGTTGCTTTTTGGGTACTTACCACTGGTCATTTGCGGGTTGTGGCATAAAGACCTCCTCCCCCCACTTCTGTGGAAGCTGAGGGCATGGCAGTTGTGGACATAACTGCCAGGTGGCCGACATTGCAGCTCCACTCAGAATTCTGCATCCAGAAAAAATATTCTTCAGGAACAAAGAGGACATCAAGACATTCTCAGATGAGGAGAATTTGTTGTTAACAGACCTACCCTAAAAGAATGGCTAAAGGAAGTTGGTTTTTTTTTCCTTTTTTAAAAATTTATTTGAGTCAGGGTTTCACTATGTTGCCCAGGCTGGTCTTGAACTCCTGGCCTCAAGCAATCCGCCTGCCTCAGCCTCTCAGAGTGCTGGGATTACAAGAATGGCCCACCATCAGTTTTCTAAATAAAAAGTAAAAAAGGAATCTTGTGTCAGGTGCAGTGGCTCTCACCTATAATCCCAGCACTTTGGGAGGACGAGGTGAGAGGATTGCCTGACGCCAGGTTTTGAGACCAGGCGGGGAAACTTGGTGAGACCTCATCTCCACAGTAAATAAAAATTAGCTGGGTGTAATGGCTCACGCCTGTAGTTCCAGCTACTTGGAAGGCTAAGGCAGAAGGATCGCCTGAGCCCAGCAGGTCGAGGCTGCAGTGGCTGTGAGCGTGCTACTGTACTCTAGCCTGGGTGACAGTGAGACTATGACTCAAAAAAAGAAAGAAAGAAAAAGGAAAAGGAATCTTGGAACATCAGGAAGAAAGAAAATGGAAAAGGAAGAAATGACAGGGTGCAGTGGCTCATGCCTATAATCTCAGCACTTTGGGAGATGGAGGTGAGAGGATTGCCCAAGTACAGAGGTTTGAGACCTGGGCAACTTGGTGAGACCTCATCTCTACAATAAATCAAAAAATTAGCTAGGCACGGTGGTGCACACCTGTAGTTCCAGCTGCTTGGAAGACTGAGGCGGAATTGCCCAAGCCCAGCGGGCCGAGCCCGCAGTGGCTGGAAGCATGCTACTGTACTTCAGCCTGGGCGACACAGTGAGACTCCTACTAAAAAAAAAAAGAAAAAGTAAATGTAAGATTTCCCTTTTCCTGAGTTTTCAGATTTACATGTAACATTTGAAGTAGCCGGGCTCGGTGACTCAGTCTGTAATCCCGCGCCTTTGGGAGGCTGAGGTGAGTGGATTGCCTGAGCCCGCGGGTTCGAGACCCGCATGGGCAGGCGAGACCTCATCTCTACAATAAATCAAAAAAAATTAGCTGGGCGTGGTAGCGTGCGCCTGTAGTTCCAGCTACTTGGAAGGCTGAGGCGGAAGGCTCGCCGGAGCCCAGCAGGTGGAGGCTGCGGTGGCCGGGAGCGGCCACTGCACTCCTGTCTAGGCGACAGTGAGACTCCAACTCAAAAAAACAAAACAAAACATTTG